AGTCAAAGAAAAAATAAAGTCATTAAACATAAAACCAAGTATAAAAATAAAGCTAACTAATGGATCAAAAATAAACCCAGAAATCTTGAAAAATATCCATAACAAAACTGCATGTTAGCAAAAATTTCCTAGCACAACAAAGACATTTATAGGTCGAAACCCACGAAGAATATGTCGTAAAATACTGATAAAAAATTCAACACTGTTTTATATACCAAAAGCAACATAAAACGCTAAAATGTAACTTTGGCGAATTCTGCACCGCAATCGAATGATGTAAAAAATTTAACGAAGCCATTAAGCCACTTGCTCATGATCTTTCAGAAAGAAAAATATTCATAAACAAAAATAACTTATGAAAATTTCATTTATAATTCTGAAAATTACAATTTGTTAATTGCTTATTCTAATATGTAGAGGAATTGCTTTCCTATTCTCTCTAATAATTTAAAACTGGTTGTAAGCGGCATTTTTGCCTTGTGGCAGATTGCGTAAACTCCCCGATATGTGTGAATGATCGATTTAAACAATAATATTTTTTAATTTATTTATGATCTGTTTACCTGTCTTCTTTTACACCTGTCTACCTGTCTACCTCTCTAGATTTATTCCGCGCACGTCTCTACTTGTTTACCTGTCTACCTGCTTACCTGTTCACCTGTCTACACACCATTTGTTTACCTGTGTTCGTATGTACCTGTTTTCCTATCTACATCTCGAAAAGTTTACCTGTCTATCTATCAACTTATTCACCAGCTTACCTGTCTATAATTTATCATTCTACCAGTCCATCAGTCTACATGTCTCATTATCTACTTTTTTAACTGATTCACTGTTTACCTGCCTAACTGTAAAGCTGTTTAACTTTCTACCTGTCTACCAATTTTAACTGCCAACTTGCTTTCCTGTACACTTTTTTTTCTATTTTTCTACTTGAGTATACAGGTTACTGTATACCGATTTTAATAGGAAGGATACGATATTAAGAATTCAAAAGAATTTTAATTCCTAATCTTTTTATTAATTAGATAGAGGCAAAATGGTTTCTTGGCTTTGTTCTTATTTATCTACACACGTTTGTTAAATTTGCAAATATTTGCATGCTCATGGAAAGTTGGCTTTATTATGTCGGTCACTACATGTCGCATCCTCGATCATAAAAGATTATGTAACTCGGCCTTGTAAAGTTCAAATGTCAGACATTTATATTTGCATACGAGAATAACAGAAGCAGAATTGAGATATTAATTTCTCACGAAGAATCAGGTGAATATTGGGTTAACGAAGAATATGTGTAAGAAGATCAAGGGGCCGATTCTCGGATAAAATAGAAATCGCGCAAGTTGGTTTGCGTAAAGGAAGGATTTTTTTACCCATCAAAGAATCTCAAGATCTACAAGCCTTAATAAACTATCTCAATATCATAACATTTTTTATTCTTTGCATTGCATAATACTGATATTAGGCTTAATATTGTTTTAGTGATGTATTATACTATAATTAATTCAATTAAGATAATTTATTTTCTGTAATTACTAAATTTAATCTAGTATCCGAAATATAATCATAAATATTAATAAAGGTATAGGCTATACCGTATAGCAGCATGAAAAACAATTACCAGCTCATGCGTTTATAGACCCGTAACATAACATTTTTAA